CTCATTCGTCCTATAAATCGCTGAACGGCTTTGTTGTCTTTATCGGGTTTCCATGCGTCGGTCTCTATAAACTGTTCGAAATTCCATTGCTTAGTATTAACTAAAGCATCCCTGAGAACGTTTTCAGCAATATCATGGAGTGATCGGTCATTGTTAATATCCATGGCTCCCCACATAATCCGATCCCCTATGGTTTTGAAAACTTGGGATTTACCCTGTTTCACAGTGTCGATTCCTCTTATAAAAAACTCTTCGGGTTTGAAGTTCGGGGTATCTTCATGGGGGATGCCAAAATACTTTTTCTTCCCAGTGAATACTACCGGAAATAGTACTTCTTCATAAGCCATTTTGAGATAATCTGATCTGGTTTTTAACCTAAGAAAGTTGTTTACTTCGATGCGTAATTTTTCCATTATTCCCATAGTAATTTTGACCATTTCGGTCCAGTACTCTTGTTTTGAGATTACGCCTTTCCCAACATCGTAAGATAGATCGCATTTCTCATAATAAGAATCTGGGCAAGTGAGATATAGGGAATCGGTATCACCATATTTTATTCCAAAACCTTTCTTTTTCACGAACTCTGCAACGAGTTTGATATTTTCTCGCCCAGCCGAAGTAACGCCTCCAGCGAGTTCAAGTATATAGAACGGGGAGTCACTTTGGCCAGTTACACCATAGAACGAATTCATATACAATTTAATGGCTTTCTGCTTCGAATTTAGAGAATTATAATCGAAGCAGATGGAATCATATTCTTTTCTAAAATCATCATATGATGAACTAATGAAAGGATTCAGGATGTCGGCTATTTCGATATGCTTCTTAGGTTCGCTATGCGAACAAATATCTTCGATTGCACTTGCTATTGAGATAGATCCGCCGGCATCCATTCTACTTTTAACTAATCCCATATATTCCATTTTCTTTCCAAGAGGTTTTAGCTGGACCTTTAGTTCATTCCGTATATTTTGCAAATTTTCCAATATTTTTGGAAATAAACCTTTCTGATCAGATTTATTCCCATGCCGTATGGTCCAGGCTCGCACAGGTTTACCGCCATACTTGAACTCGATACTGTGAAGCACTTTATTCTCTCTCTTTAGTTTATCTGCTTCTGAAAGTGTTGAGACCATCTTCTCGGGTGAGAGGTTGTAGGTCATGATTATGCTAAGGTATAAGGAAGCGAAGTCTAAACCTGTGACAGAACGTTTATTTTCAAGACCTTTCTCTGGCGGGAACACATACGCTCCTGGAAACTTCCCAAATGCTTTCTGATTGGAAATTTTCATAGTGTATAGAATATCCTGCGTCCAAGCTTCAGCGCCTAAGAGATTAGATACTTTTGTTCCTATAGCATAATAATGCGTGTCGAATAATGATATATAAGCGATTGAAGCAACTTCTCTATAATCATTTATAATATTATTTTTAACCATGAGCTCCTGACAACGTAAAGCATCTATAACATAATACTTTGCGATTTCTTGCATATTTTTGACGGAAGAGTCAGAAGTTCCATCTCTTGCTTCCGAATAATACTTTCATAATGTACTCATAGGCATATCAGCTTTACCATCAAGACCACATTTTTCTAAGAAGAATTTGAGTAATCTTTTCTCCGAGCAGGGGAAGAGTTGCAACAAACTCGCACAAACATCGATTGGTACACATCCGGGGAGCTTAAGAAAGGATGATTCGAAGCTCATATCATTGGAACCAAATTTGATATTAATAGATTCGCGACCTTCTGTTTTTCTGAAATTCCTATCCGTTTTCTTCGCCCATTAGTCTCTATGGAAGTAACCACTGCTTAGTGGCTTTCCAGTTCCACCGAAATAATTCCAAGTGAGAGTGGATTGAGTATTGGCTGTCTTATACGGATTTGCTGACATTTGTTGGACCATCCAGTCGAAAACATTTAACTTGGTGGCCTTTTCTACGATGAAGGGCCAATCATAACCAGAGTCATTAAAACCGAGCTAGATGTCTGGAGCAAAAGATTTCCAGTATAAAGCGAAAGCTTTTAATATATTGGCTTAGTTTCCACATATAATAGTAATCCAGTCCGGGTCTGATGCTGTCTCAACGTCGACAAGGCATATCTGTTCTAATAGTTTTGGGTTGTCTTTCCAGTGTAGAGTCATACAGATCGTAAAAACCTGGGACATGTCATTTTTCACTTCTGGGAAGTTCCCCAACCCACGTGAATCGTATGTTTCTATGTCTCACGTTAGTACTAGTGCTCGATTGTGAACAAAGAGAGAAGATGGATAGATTTTGTAAAGTGGTTCAAAATTATCTATGAGACGAAGGTTATCAATGTGGACATAAAATGCATGTGGACAATGTTGGGATTTCGCACAATAAGGTGCACTGAAATTATATCTATAATCGCTCATTAAGCCTCACCCAGAAAGTGGTATCTTATACTCTCTTGCAACTTTACGGTAATATGTGCCTGTATCATCTGAAGCGGTTTCTAT